CAAGGATCCAATAGGCAAGTGGTGGGACGTACTCTTCCAAGCACCTTGTCCACATCATTGGGCCGCAATAATTGAAATTCCTCCAGTAATTTTGGACCAGACGGTGGCATTGGCGACTCCTCAGAGACCTCTGATTCATTAGTGGAGTCCAGCTCGTGACGAATCTGAGCGATTTTCTCCCTGAAATGCCTGGCAAAGTCGTCACAGCGGGCCTTTGAGGGTGGCATCGGATCTTCCTTAGGACCCAGGCGAACCAGGCCTTGCACCACTCGAAAAAGCTCCGCTGGACGGCATTGTGAGGAGGCAATGGAAGCGGAAAAAAACTTCTTTTTCGCCGCCTTCACCGCCACAGCATAGGCCCGATAGTGGGCTCTCAAGTGTGTTCGGTCAGATTCATCCCGTGATTTCCTCCACCTACGCTCTAGCCGTCTCCCAGCTCGCTTCATCACCCGTAATTCAGGTGTATACCAAGGGGAAGAGCGGACTCTGCCCGGTGGGAGAGGACGCTTAGGAGCGATCGTGTCCACAGCCCTGGTCATCTCTCCGTTCCACAGTTCGACCAGAGCCTCGACAGGAGCACCAGTCTTGTCCGCCGGAAACTCCCCCAGGGCCCCCAGGAATCCATCCGGATCCATCCGGCTCCGGGGGCGGGCCCATACAATCGGGTCCGCACTCTTATAGAGGGAGAGGCCGCTCTTGAGCACAAACCTCACCAGGAGGTGATCTGACCATGACAGGGGAGTCAAACATAAGTTCTTCACCCTCAGGTCATCCTCTACCTGCCCCGTCGTGAATACCAGGTCCAGAGTGTGTCCACGTTCATGGGTAGGGCCAGTGACGTGTTGAGACAGGCCCATGGCCGTCATAGAGGCCATGAAGTCCTGAGCCGCCCCGGTCAGTCCAGACTCGGCATGGAGATTGAAGTCCCCCAGGACCAACATCCTGGGGGTCCTCAACACCAGATCCGAGACGGTCTCTGTCAGCTCAGATAGGGAGACTGCTGGGCAGAAAGGTGCACGGTACACCAATAGAATCCCCAATCTGTCTCGTTCACCCAACACCAAGTAGAGGCACTCCAGCCCTGGTTTCAAAGGGACCGGAAGACCCGTGAGAGAGATGGAGGCTCTGTAAACCAACGCGACTCCCCCTCCTCTCCCTTCTGGGCGTGAACAGTGTTGAACCAGATACCCAGGCGGGCACAACTGGGAGAGGGCAACATCCCCTCCCTCTCCCGCCCAGGTTTCCGTTATGCAAGCCAGGTCGGCCCCCTCATCCACAATCAAGTCATGGATGAGGGAAGATTTATTATTGATCGACCTGGCATTGAGCAGCAGCACCGTCAGACCCGAGGGGTGGTTGACAAGGCTACCTGGCGCCCTCTGGTTGGGGGCAGGATCAGAAGGAGGGACAGGTGTCAGCCATCTGTCCATCCTTCTTCTACGTGGACACATTAAGCCCCTATTGTTGTAACGACCATTGCCCGTGACCACGCCAATAGCAGCCCCCGTGGGTTCCCCAGGATATATAAACGTCGACATGGCCAGGAATGACTCAAAGCACTAATTAAAGCAGGGTAAGATTATAAAGTAGGTCGGAGGAGGAGAAAAAGAACGCTAAAAAGAAAAAAAAAAGAAAAAGGGGATCCTTCCTCTTCCCTGAGAATCAGCAGTAGGCAAGCCTATTTCAACAAGAGTCCATGGCCAGCCCAGCCCCCCTCTCGTCCCCCCCGAACGGCACCCCAAACGGCGGCGACCCCTTTGGTCGCCGCCCTTCGGCCGCCGGCCCGAGGCCGCCGGCCCCGGCCGTTGCCGCGGCTTTGACTCCGCAGGGCGCCTCCGAGACCCGCCCCGTCGCGCACCGCGCGCGCCCGATCACCTGGGCTGGCGGGCGGCGCTCTCCGGCGCCGCGTGCGGCCGCGCTGGCCGGTGGAGCTGGCTGCCGTCGAGGTCGCAGCCGCGTGCGTCTGCCTGCATTCGCTTGCCCGGGAGCGGCGTGATGCTGGAGGTGGAATGGGATGTCCTGCTCACAGATTTGGTACATGGACTTGTAGTGTCATGAAATGGGTTGTGGCTGATTGGGGTAAATCCATGGTTCCATCATCGCCTGACGAAGGGTGGTGATAAGCAGCAAGATGATGGCGGCGGACTGTTCACCCTTGATGATATTATAAAATTTATCGGTATTGGGATCGAAGCGGTGCTGGGCTTCGATTTCCAGTCACCATTAATTCCCCAAACGTTGCGTAAGGCTCTTACAGTGAGCTGGGACCTTGTGTGGTGATCACAGTGTCCGGTGAAGAGGAAGCTACTTTGGAATCCTCCAAATCTGAGTCATAATGAGGCGGAAGGCTGGAGGAGGAATCGACAGGCGAAGTAGGGTGCCTGGATTGAGCCACTCTGGAGGTCGATGGGACATCTATCGGGACTGGAGAGAGGATACAATCACTACCGAGGGGTAATACCCATAGGGTGGATATTCGTCCCATGGTTCGCGATGAGTTGGCCTATGGGGCGGTTGCACCCATTCCCCAGAGGGACAGATGGAGGCACGCTGCTGGTATCACACCTGCTGAGGCGGGGCCCTCAGGGAAGGCTCAACTGAAGGCTGAGGAGTGGGTGAGCATGCCACTGGGGGAGAGTCTCGAATCTCTCCATCAGAGATGGATCCCAACATGGCAGCTTCCTGGTGCTCAGGCGAAGACGGGATGGAAGGAACGACCCGTCATGGGGACCTGGGTAGGGTCACTTGCATTGCCAGCTGTAGAGCTGGTCTGATCGGCGTCGGTACTGAAGCGGCTGTCGGGATCGATGGGGTGGACAAGCCCGAATCACGGTGTCGGGGATGGTCGGCTTTCTTAGTCTTGCGCGCTGCCTTGTCCTTCTTAGGCTTCTTATGGCCTGAGGACTTGTCTGACCTACTATGCTTCCTTTTCTCCTTCTGCTTATATGGAGATGTAGAGGAGCGTTGACTCTCCGATAAAGGGGCACCATCAGCCGATGGGCGGGGTGGAGATGTAGCTGAAGAGGAGGATGGAGCAGCAGATTTGCCTGCCAGTTGATTGGATTGAAGCAGGGCTTGGTCCCACAAGAGTTTGCGCAGACGGTTTTCTCGATTTTTCCTCACCTGCTTAGTAAAGGCCTGGCAGTGGCCGCATTTATCAGTCCTGTGCCCTTCTCTGAGACAGAGAAGGCACAGATCGTGCGGATCAGTAGGCGACATTTTAGATCCACACTGAGAACACTTGCGGAAAGCCGCACGCTGAGCCATCGAGGATGAAAAAGGAGAAGATAGCGAAGGTAAGGATACAGAAAGAAAAACTCTTTTTTTGGGGTGGGGGAACAGGAAAAGGGGGATGAGAAGAAACTTCTAACAAGGAGGATAATAACTTGGAATCTTAACAGGCTAAGAGAAACAACAGTTAGGTAACAATATATACGATGTAGTACAAACTGAGAGATGAAAGGCTTGAGGCACAGCAAACGGCGGTCACAAGAAGACTGAGGAAATGGTGGGCACTCCACCTTCTTATACTGGGAGGAGGGGTGTGGAGTGCCCGCCAAAACCATTAAGCTTTAAATCTTTCCGGCCACAGGCACTGCACAGGCGCAGCAGCCATATATGTGATACACAGAGGCAACGACGAAGAAAATAAGCTCTGAGTTTAGAGTTCCACTTTCTATGTCAGATAAAGTTTCTGAGGTTCAGGCTGGGACTCTAAATAACCCTATGGCTGTTGAGATGCCGTCTAGCAGCCATAGGATTGTGCCAAAAGCTCGCTTACACACACACATGTGTGTGTGTATCTCACTTGATTCCTTATATGTATAGTAAAGCACTTGTTCTTTCACAAGTTATGATGAAGGCACACAAGGGACAATGGAAGGACTAATAACACAATCCCACTTGTCTTTCTTTGCTCAGAGCAACTTGTGGCCCTCTGGACAGCTGTATGCCTGTAACTCCCATCATACTTCACCATTGCCCAAACTGGCTACAACTGGTAGGAACCGTAGGTGAAAACACCTGTAGGGCCACAAGTTGCCCACATCTGCACTATGCACATTCCCTTCACCCATGTAATATGTACATTCTTCTAACTGAAATCAGTGAAATGACACTATTGCAAGGGAGTCATCTGAGATAAATAAATCTCCAGCTCAAATTTACATGTGTAAAGTGGGAGGCTGCCACTTCACTGCATTGTCACTACTCATTCCTGTATGTCTCAGTGATACTAGTGAAGGTATTCCAAGTAATGCTTATGAAATGAAGTCCTGCTTTGTAGGTGAATTCCACTACTTCAGTGCAGTCTCGTGTGCGAAAAGAATTGAGGTCACAGTATGTATCACTTTTCTGGACACATTTCTATGTGATCCATCAACTCCTCAAGTGATGGATTTTAGTTCCACTTATTCAAGAGAGAGGCAATTTGAGGCAGTGCTCAAGACAATGTTATCCAGCACCTCTACCACCCCCTCCCCAGCAAAAGTAAAATGACTGGTTTAGAACAGAAGTTTGTATTGTTTCTGTTAGAAATATCAGAGCACAATTTGAAACCAAGGAACCAAGCATGTAATAGAAAATCTGACAATTGGAAATACAAAAAGGCTTGTTTCCATATATAATAATTTCTAGGATAATATATTTCTTGAGGTTACAGAAGTATTCATCACATCATATTTTGACAACAAGAAGCAGGCAGAGCTGTGACATTCTGGAATTTGTGTTTCTTTTGACCCTGAAGTGACTAAAACCCCATTTCAAAATTTGCCACAACTGAGGTTAACACTTTATAGTTACTCAGCAAGGCTTTTATGTAAAAAATATTCATTCCTACTACTTGCTAAGGAGATATTTTAAAACCAAACGGTCATGTGTAGTATCGGATCTGAAATGATTTGCAAACACCACTGTTTCCAGAGCTTCTACTGCTCTTATACCAACAATTCAGCTTGACACACATTATAAGTTGCAGGAAGGGAGATTTGAGATCTACTTACACAGCACAGTGCAATGGGGAGAAAGGGTTCCCATTAAAGTTACGGAAAGTTTTCTGTTCCAACAGTACCTCTATGCAGCTTTCACTGCCTGTAAGAGATCAAACAGTTTTGTGAAACTAAAAGCAAGGAAGTGCTTTGGAGTGATTTCAACTGAAACAGAATTGACAGTGTAAATTAACCTCTGAACATATACTGCTACATAATCAAACCAGTGGTCCATCTAACTCAGTGTTGCTTGCTTTGACTCAAAGATGGCTCTCCAAGGTAAGATGACTTTCCTAGCCTAGCTACCAGGGAGCCCTTAATTTAAGGGTGGACAACATGTGGGCCCACAACCCCAATCAGCCATATCCAAGCTAGATAATGGTGAGGCACCATAGGAGTCATGTGCCAAAAATCTGGCCTCTCTTGCCCTAATTTCTAGGGCAGTGATGGCGAACCTTTTAGAGACCAAGTGCCCAAACTGCAACCCAAAACCCACTTATTTATCGCAAAGTGCCAACACTGCAATAAAATCTGAATACTGAGGTTTTAGTTTAGAAAAAACAACTAAACATGATGCTGCAGATTCAAACATGCCAGGAGGACAGCACAACATTAAAAGAATCTCGGTCTCTTAGTTAGAACATCTCTTTGCTAAATCTTAGGTATTAAATTTCATTTTTTCATAAGAAAACTCACAGCTAAAATCTTGTGTTCATAAAAAAGAATGTATTAAAACTCACAGCCACTCCAAGCAAATATACATATATCCTTGGTAGTGCACTGACCGGCCATGCGAAAGCTCAGATGAGTCGCGGCTAATGAGTTGCTGCTCATGACATCATCACCTGGCACTGCTACTCCTTTCCGAGCATGCGCATGGCCCCTATGTGTGCTGTTATCTGATGCTCAGCTGCTGGGGCAGTGCTGGGGCGACTTGGCTCATGTGCCGACAGAGAGGACTCTGCGTGCTCACTGCGGCAGGCGTGCCATAGGTTCACCACCACTGGACTAGGGTAATGGGTGAGCACAATGGCCACTGTAGGCCCTCTCCATACCTAGGACACTCCCAGTTATTCATTATTTATTTACTATATTTATAGAACACCTCTCAACCATGAACAGTTTCCAAAGCTTGGAGACTATGTTGCTATGTTTTTGGCATAACAACAACATAGCGAGAGACCTTTCTTTTCTTCCAGTCATTTTAGAGACCTAGTTCTAGGTTCTTGTGACTATTTATCAATTCATGTGGTGCTTGTCATTTTGTATTGCATTATATTGTATTTTCAAAATATTTGTTTGCATGGCATTTTACTCTTTTCACTTCGTAATCTGCCTACAGGATATTGGTTATTGGGCCTGTTAAAAATATAATAGCTAAGTAAAGTCCACCCTTTTCAATTTTTAAATGACAGTGAAGCCTCATTTCCTTTGTGGATGGAGTTTATTCCTGCTTACCCTCCTACATCTGCTTGCCTGAATGTTCTGTTGAGAGTTTCGACAAGCCTACAATTATTGTTTTCATAAATCCCGTAATCTCTCTTTACATCCAGATCTCTACATAAGCTAAAACACATCATGCTAAGTATGAGCTTGACATAAAAGATTACCATTATAAGAAGCCCAGTGCAATGGTGTGTAACTTTGATTATCTTTAAAATTGTAGTCCTCTTCTGAAAGTGCCAACTGCAACAACTCACTCAGCCATGTGGCATGACCCCGAGCTGCTGCATAATGTAAAGGTGTCCTGCCTCTGGCATCCTTACACAAAATCAATGCTTCTTGTTCCAACAGCATTTGAACACATTCTTCATGCCCTGTCATAATCTGATTAGAAACATACATAAACATACAAAAAATTATAAATGAGAGAGTCATTGCAATAAGACAGGGTTCATGCAAGAGATGTAGGTTGTTTTCGGTGCTTAGTGTTTTAGATCTACTTCCACCAATCTGGTCTCCTTCAGATATATTGGCCCACAACTTCCACCCCCCCCCCACCCAGCCATACTGAAGCCCAATACATCTGGAAGACACTAAGTTGGGAAAAACTGCTTCACACCCTGAGCAGATGATAAGAAACCATCAGTTCGTTTATGCCGCCCATGCATGGAAACAAAGAACAGGGCTACTGCCTTTTAAGGATATTATCTGTCTCCTCTGAAATTCAGTGCACAGAAAATCATTGTGACTATACTTCTCAAAATGGATGTTACTTGCTTCTTCAAAGTGCTATTTATATGAATGCTCCCATACATGACTACACTAATTATACAGCTACTGAAGCTCTCATTTCACTGACCTGAACAAATGCAGCTGTTAACATCAGCTACAGCATATTAACTTTGCACAGATCATTGTGTTTATCATGGGCACATATTCCCGTATGAAAGATGATAAAAATGCAATGCTTTGGAGTTATTCATTACATAGGAAAACATTTTTAAAATGTGTTGTGGAATGCTGAGACATTGCAAAAAGAGAAGGTTTTGAAAAAACTACTTGTTCAGATACATGCTCACCCTTTCACATTTAAGAAATGTTAAAACTATTTGGAACCTGCCAGGCATGGTGGTGGTAGTGGTGGTGTGTGTGTGTGTGTGTGTGTGAGAGAGAGAGAGAGAGAGAGAGAGAGAGAGAGAGAGAGAATGTTATTCACCAGACACTTTCTAATGCATCCACAAATAGCACACCAAAATGCCGTCTGGCACTGTTGGAAGTTCTAAGATACTGTTTGAAATGTGAGAGTCAAAAGCACTTGGCTGCCCATGATAATCAACCAAAAACATTTTCCCACCAGAATCTGCCCTTGCTTGTAAGGAGTAAGGCCTACACCTTCAAAATACAGCTCAGCGTCAGCAACACTTCCTTGTTTCTTTCCCTAACCCCAATCTTAGAACTGGGGATGGAAAACTCATGCTGCACTTCTGTCTCTCTGCAAGCTCTTCTATAAGGCAGTGCAAGTATAGAGATGATCTCGGTCTCTCTCTAGCTCCCACACTGGGGATGGTTTGTTTTGGCACTGTGTTTCCAAATCACTGCATGCACCTTGGAACCATAATATCAAAACTGCATGCTCCATTCCCACCCCTCCTCATTGTGTATTGTTACATGTATTTAATGCTTTGGGGTTTCTCTACACAAAGTATTGTCTGTTCATGATCCCTCATTCACAAAAGTTTGCAGGCCTTTTGGTGATGTTGTTGTCCTTCAGGGGTTATCTCGAGTTTACCAGCCTCCCTCCCCTTCCTTCTGCGCGCCTGTGTGTGTGTTTCAGAGCAAGGAAAATCAGGTACTGAACTTTACATTGTGACAAACCAGATCAAGTCTTGTGAAAAGATGAAAATCCTCTAAATTTATACCCCTGTACCACCTTCTGGTTGGTTAATAGAATGCATAGAAAAGCAGAGAAATACAAAACCCTAGAAAGAGCCCTGTATAGAGGCTGCAATTCTCTTCTGCAAAAACATAAAATAAAAATACCTTCATGTAGAAAAGCTGTTACCCAGACTTCCTCCTTTATACTAGTTACAAATTTTAAAGCTTTTAAATGTAAGAAAATCTAAAAAGCACCTTGCAGTATAAATGAACATCTTGGTTTATTTCAAAAAGAAAGTATTAGTCCACCACATGTATGGCATGTCTCCTTGTGGTTTTCTGGGTCATGGCCACTCTCTTCTAAAAACTTGCTGATCTTTAATTAGTAGTATTATCAGAGCATCATTAGATTGTTGTAAACCACCCAGAGAGCTTCCATTGTAGGGTGGCATAGAAATGAAATAATGAAATAAATATAAACAAACTTAAATGTTTTGCTGAGAAGTAGGTAGCAGAGCAGGTTCTGAAAGTGACCAGCCACTGGCTTCTACAAACTCATTGCTTTTCCTGAGCACCTGGCATCCAAAGGAAAGTTATTTTCATAACATTCGTTTATATTTTAAACTCAAACTGATTTCAGTTAGACACATTTCTCACCAGAAATGCAAAAGACATACAGCAAAAATACTGCATTAAGTGTCTAAAATCAGCAGTTACCCCTCGATGTAATGCAGTGCATCCCAAGATATCAGCTGCATCCACAGATGCTTCTTTTTCAAGTAACAAGGAAACAGCATCTATGTGTCCATAAGCCACTGCCAGCATCAATGGAGTTCTAGAAATGAGAGACAAGCATAATGTTACCATCATATTCCAATTCAGTCCCTTTAATCCAGATTCCCTAAACCTTTTTCCAGCAATCTCCAGCATTTTTGGTCAGCATCAGAAAAACATGTTCATTTTACTATGGCTCTTAATGTGATGATCATTTTCAAAGATCCTTTATGCATGTAATACATGTAGCAGTAACCTCTATACATTCCATTAATTTCCAAGCCAAATTAATAGTAAAAAATGCACTGCACAATTTTCAACCTGTGGCTAACCATATAAGAAATAAAAGCAAGTATTTTGAAGACTCTATCATATTATAATGATTCTAGTCCCTAACTACTACTTTGAGGAACAGTTGCTGTGTCTGTTATTTCTCCCCTCTGCATTCAGCCCTTCTTCAATGTTACATTTAGTTGAGTTGACAGTACAAATCCTCTGCTTGACATGGCATGAGAGGAAACCTCAGATGCATCTGAGAATGGGAAACTCCCCACTGCAAAAAATCATCTTTGAATCAGGACAATATTTAAATTTTATTTATTTTATTTTATTTAACATAGTTCAAGGCTGCCTTCCAGGGTAGATACCAGCACTTAAAACGGGTGGGGTATGTGTAGACCTCTAGATGTTGTTGGACTACAACTCCCAGCACTCCTTGTCATTGATTATGATGGTAGGGACTGATGGGTGTTACAATGCAACAAGAACCACACTTTCTTCAACCTTAGTTGAAAAGGTTCACAGTATCATTCATGTCACACAAAGATAGCAAAACAGAATAAACTTACTGTCCTTTGGCATCTGTCACATCAGGGTTATCTGCTACTTCTAATAAAAGCCGTAAACATGGTGTGTGTCCATTGATGACTACAAAGGAAATTTTTCTTTTTAGCAGTCTGCAAACAGATGAAGTCTAGATGTGCTTGCACTTTTATATCTAGTTATGTGCAGCTGTCTCGAATTCTAGATATTCTCTTCATAGTATATGTAACAAGCAAGATCTCTACAACAGAGAGTTGTTCTTTAATTTACCAATATGATCTATGTGTTCCTATCTAGTGGAAGGTTTCTAGATAAGAACTTGAATAAAAAAAGATCAGTTGCTATGAAAAATAGAGTTGAAATGCACAAAGGTGCACATGTGTGATAATAAAATTGAAAAAAATGGAGCAATCAAACAGATGCTATCTATACGCCAGTTCACACATAATCGTACATCACTTGATGACTTGCAGTACAACATGTGAACTGCCACCACTGAAAAGTGTTCTGTTTGAACTGGCAAGTAGAAAGTGCCAGTAAATCAAGAAATAAATACCTGAAAAAAGGGCATTCTGATTCTGTGTGTTAGCTTAGTGATAGAAAATGTGTATGTGCTCACACTTTCAAGGCTGCTATACAAAAATAACCACCGAGGCACCTTTTAAGAAGCTGCAGTATCTAACTTAGCATGATCAGAATAGCCAATGAAGTTATGAGTTATTCCTATTTATGCAGTTCACATCTAATATACCTAGAACCGGCCTGGGTGGGCTGTTATTAGGAGACAATCTATATATTGTATTCAGCCAACAGAGGTCTCTATCAAATTGAGTGGAGGCAGTAAAACATGTCACTTAAGGATGTATGCGCATTCCATTTGAAGAATGAAAACTCATCAAATTTTTCTACATTGGCTCTAGCAGATTTTGTCCCATTTCCCCCTGCTGCCAATACACAGATTTTGTTTTTTTTCCCTAGAGGCAATGTGTGCAAATTGTGTTTTCGTGGGGTATGAACTTGATATTTGCACAAATAGGATCATTTTTAAAAGGATCCCAGCCTTTCACCAGTGCACGAGAGCAGATGCATCTGTCCAATATGCATAGTCCTGTCTTGTCAATTTTCTTGTATGTTTCAACTGTCAACTGCAGCACCCAAGTGGAATAAGTAAACTAAAGAAAACTGCCAAGATGAGATGAAATAAAGGCTAATTTGCAGACAGTTGTGAAGGAAGAGGAGGGAAAATAATAGTAAGAGAACAAAGACACTCATCTGCACAATTCAGAAACGTCAAGAAAAACTGCCAACAAAGTGCACCAAAGGGGTGGGGGACACAACATCTATCACTTGGTAATGCAATATTTTCATTATTAAGTGCTGAACTGACACTCATCAGTGTCCTCCATTTCAACACTTCTTGAATCTTCAGCAAGTCCAGAAAGGAACATTACTGACTCACCATCCTCTTTATAGTTCCTTCTTGGAGCTGTTACTACTGTTGTGCAAAGTTCTCCTCCATTTATTGGCCAGCCTGTACACATTTCCCCTCTGTTTACTTCTTGGGCTCTAAATATGTACAAATTGTGTTTGTCTTACTATTAATTTGCCTTGCACTTTCACAACTGTGTGCCAGTTAGCTTATATGCAGACTTGTCATGTCAGTTTCCTTGCATGCTACCTATTATACTTAGGTCCTGCTGTTGATCACTGACACTTATAAGGAAATTATACTGGACAGCTGAATTCCCAGCATTGTACATCCCTGCTGTGAATACAAAGGATTGCACTTGTTTTGTGTGTTGTTCAAATACATGTACTGGAAAAACAGCCAAATACATCCAATGCAGTAGCAATCCCTAAGAACAAGTAAAGTGGTTGTAATTAATTGCATGTGAATTAGTGTGAGCCCAGAAGTGATGCCTCAGACAAGTCTAAGAGCCTATGGGTACAATCCTATGCATAACAACATCTCACTTACCTGAGGCATGAAGGGGGGTTCGTTGGCTGACATTATCTTTGACTAAGATGGAAGCACCCTGGTTGATGAGAGCTTCAACACATTCAGTGTGACCTTTAAATGCAGCCAGGTCTAGAGCAGTACGTCCTTTTTCATCCTTAATATCCAGGTCGACCAGAGACTGAAGAAGCACCTCCAAGGCTTGATGGTGGCCATTATAGGCCTAGAGGTCAAAACAAGATAATTAAGCCCAAAGCACTTTAGCAGTCATTTAAGTGTGGCTGCTATTATTCATACAACCAACTACAATCAAGACTGTTCATGTTTATTACATCAGAGCAAATTGTAATTTTACACCATTTTCACCAATGTGACATTGTTATGATTAGAAACTAAACTAGAATGAAAAAATTCTACAGTATACTTATAAACTAGAATGAAAAACTGGTACAGTAAAATAACCATGTAGTCACTTTAGCCAAATAAACAAGGAAGTGCAAAATGGGTCACAGTGAATTTAAAAATAAGTTAAGCCACAAATGCTTCCAATAGAAGAAATAAATTGGGTAAAGTAAATGGAAAATGTTGCAGCTGTTCATGCTGTAGCATCCTCTCTACATTCATGAACTTCATTCGCTATTCAAAATGATTCATTAACAATTTTTGAGACTTTAACAACACAATCCTATGCCTGTCTACTCAGAAGTAAGTTCCAGTAAGTTCAGCTGGGCTTACTCCCTAGTAAGGTGTGTCCAGGATTACAACCCAAGAGAAGCTATTTTTATATTTGTAATCAGTACTGAGCTAAGTCAGTTTTGGAAGTTCACAGGTTGACATAGCACTCTTTTCTGGTTGTCAGCTGAATGACAACGAATTCCATAGTAATATAAAACTTGGTTACAAGTATTGTGGTGAGTTAAAAAATAACACCATTCTTGGCTATTCACTATTTAATGTGTCAAAGATAATTTAAAATGGATTTTAATTTAATTTATACTGGATAAAATTACAGCACTAGTGAAGATGCAGATGTCTTACAGACAACAAATCCTGCCAGTTGTTCTTTGCACACATCCAGCTTGGTTAAATCATCATTTTGTGTTTGTCAGTTCAGCTGATAAAATATGACATTTTTACACAGAAAGATCAAACACTAATATCTCTATCTTGAATTCATACTAAAGTTTTATTGTCAGAATAGCTAAAAAATTACCGCACTGATGTACAACTTCCTATTGAAGTTAAGGGGAAGAGAATATACTGGAATGCATGCATTCATATTAAAATTAATGTCCTGAGTGCAATCCTATGCACATTTAGATGGAAAAATCCTGCAGTTTATTTATTTATTTAATTTTTTAATATGCTGTCCCAATACTGAAAGTCTCTGGACGACCTACAGTTCTCAGCATTCTGCTGGGGAATGTTGGAACTTGTACAACTTTTTTTCTGACTAAACATTCTCAGTATTGTGCCTGATGGAAGCAATCCAATGGTGCCTAGAGAGAGTTTGGATTTCTGGCTCCAAGCCTGAAGGCAGCGCTCAGACCTCAGAAAGGGAGTCTAAACAAGTTTCTTTGTTCTGAGACAAAATGACATGAAGACATCAAGGCTGCCATACAGAGAGAGAAGAAAAGCAGATAAGAAGCAATGGTGAATGGGAATTTTGTATGTCACAGATCTCCCCACTGTACTTTCTTTTTATTTCTTTTCGACAGTAAATCTTATTTTCCTTTGCCTTGTTGAGAATTGGAGGCACACACATGTATATGTATGTAACGCAATATCCTGGAAAATGGCATGGCTGGCTAGCACCCTGATCAGGAGCACACTGCACTGCAATATTCTTTTGCAGGACCCACTTGTAGATACCTAATGCTGAACTTCCAAATATACTTTTCTTCTATGACTACTGACAGTTATTCCCTAAACTATGGATTCCTTTGTCATTTGCACTTTAAAAATAATAGATATTTGATTAAGACAACTTAGTGTGGAGTTTCCCTAAAGAAAAGCCTTACAGTGAAATTCTATGCATTTCACTTACTAGGAAGTAAGTCCATGGAGGCCAATGAGACTTACTCTTAAGTGAGTGTGCATAGAATTGCAGCTTTAATTAGATAACTCCCTATAACACCTAAGACTGTAATTTGAAGCATACAGACTAGGGAACAAGTCCCACCCAGTACAGGGAGAATTATTTCTGACTAAGCATGCGTGGGATTCTACTGTAGGAGTGGGAGTTCTTAATAGCTAATCAGTTCACCAAAGATACCATTGAAAAGGTTTTTTTAAAAAAACAACCAGACAAACAACAGTTGCTTTGCCTACTAATATTGAAACAGATGCAGCTTGATTGATCCTGACATTAATTCTAAGACCACCCTCTGAGGAAGGTGTCTACCCGGAGAAGGGCCTTCTCTGCAGTGGGGCCCCAATTGCACAGTCTGCTCCCCAGAGAGGTTCGTCTGGCGCTGTCACTTTATTCTTTTCAGTGCCAGGTCAAAACCTTTTTATTTTCCCAGTGTTTTGAGACCTGACTGTTTTAACTGGGTTTTAATTATTAGTTGAATTTTTAGGATGCTGTGGTTTTTAATTTTTATATTTTTTTTTTTACATTTTGTATTGTTGAACCTTCCCAAGACTTTGGTAATGGGACAGTATAGAAAAGTTTTAAACAAACAAACAAAGAAATAAATGAGGTTGACTTGAGTTTCCAAAATTCATGATTTCAGCATTAGTAATTACAACTATATATGGCATTTGGATCTGGCACTGTAGTCATTAATGTAGCAACTAAATCAGCCTAGATCCTTAGCTTGAACGTATCTGACCTCAAATCCCTTTTTGTATCTTTCAAAAGAAGGTTTTTGTTTAGGAAGAGCCAGTATGATGCACTGGACAGCGTATTAAAATCTCAGCTCAGCCTATGAAGTTTGCTAAGTCGACTTGAGTAATTTACTAAACTGCAAGGAAACAAATGTGACAAATATGTTTAGATAAATTTGGTGGAAGACAATAGAAGGCTGTGTGGTTATTTGAGTAATTTACTAAACTGCAAGGAAACAAATGTGACAAATATGTTTAGATAAATTTGGTGGAAGAAAATAGAAGGCTGTGTGGTTGAGTTATATAGCATTACTAAAATTATGTACTTACAGCTAAATGCAAAGGACTTTTTGTAGCAGTTGAATCCGATTCTTCAAAAATGTTGCTGGTTTTCTCAAGAAGCTACAACAAATAAAAAAGGAATATCATTTTGTACAGTTAATATATCAGAAAGGATAGACATATGTCCCACATGCCCCCTGAACTAACAAAGAACATTTTAGGTGAAATCCTATGCATGTGTGGGACAGAAGAGACTGACATTGGAATGCTGGATGTTGTAGGAGTTTATTTCTGTCCACATATGCATAGGTTGCACCTTAAACATGCTGCTTAACTTAGCAATGCTACAGTTTTTCTGTTACCATGAATTACTTCTGCTAAGAATGGTCACTGTCCCTATTTTGCATATATCTATGGTTTCAAGTTGCTGCCACAAATTACTTTTGTACTTTGTTTCCATCTAAGCTCACTGTTTATATTTTTACCTCTATCCATAGGTAATATATACACATTCAAATAAGAATATCATTTTATGCATCTGATGCAGTAGATTCTAACCCATTAGTTTTTTGAGGTGCCTCAACAATCTTTGTTGGTTTTGCTACCATGGTGGAAAATTTTACCTGTTTTGGCATCAGAATAGTAAATGCTTGTTTGGCCTATTTCCTGACTATAACAAAGAATATAAGCAAATAGCTACCTTGAACAGAAATTACCATGAATTTCTTGCACACATATGAAGGACACAATCTGTTGATCTTTCCCCAAGCAGCAGCTACTAGTCTTGAAATATGAGCATTTGCTGACAAAGTGATGACTACCTGCCCCTTGGTAGTGCTGCCAAAATAACCCTAAGAGTTGTGTCCAAAGGTATCCCTCTGCTAATAAAAAGGAGGCCATTTTAATTAAAACTCCCTCCTCCTTAATCCTTGTATGCCACACAAATCTGCTATGGAGGGTTGGCCTTCCAACCACAATGGGTACAACTTTTTACTACTTATTAGATTTATATACCACCTTTTTCTTTTTAAAAGAACTCAAAGAAGCTTACATCATTCTCCTCCTGATGCCTGTGATCTTATTACCACAACAATATCCATGAAAGGTAGGCTGCGCTAAGAGCCTGTGATTGACCCAAACTTACCCAGATGGCTCCATGACTGAGTAGGGACTAGAACCCAGATTGCTTGAGTCCCTGTCCTGCATTTATTTTTGCTGCTGTATTTATTTTACTGTGTTTTATTGATTTTTAAACATTGTTTACATTTATATCCATTTAGTATTGTAAGCTGCTTTTTAATTTGGAAAATGAATAATTAAGAAAATTACCCTAAATAGACTGTTAGTACCTAAGTAAAATAAAAAATGATGCAACTGCACTGAATTGAGATACTAGTGATTTCATTGGCAGTAAGACTGACCCGTTAACCAGGTTTTCTCTAAAAAAAATATTCAGAGTTAACACTAGTGCTTTTCTAAAACAAAAATGAGTATTATGAATATATTCAACATAAACAGAACTGACCATTTGCTTTCAATTAGGTTACTTATGACAGTATCACTCTCTAGTGGATGTATAAACTTGAAAATAAAATGGTTACTAAACCTGTCCCCTTGTCATCTTAGCATGCCATTTCTCAGAAACTGTCTAAAATGAAAAGATATTTTATCCCTTCTATTTATCTAAATTATTAAATCCAGTATCCAGTCATTGAAAGAGCAACATGGAAATACTGGAAGTATCTTCTGAGCAAAGCACCTAGTGGACTTCAAAATAAAGCTAAAGAAGGATTGAAGGTTGGTGTGTCCATATGTGTATGGGGTGGGGGAGTACTGTGAAAGAAACTACAGGACTTCGGAGTGTTTTCTAAAGGATGGATATTGCTTGTTAATTCTAAAGCAAATTAACCTTTGTTTGCAGTATTTTAATTAGCTTATTATCCAGAATGCTGTAATTTCAAGCATATGCATGTAACTGAGGGTAAAATTTCATAGCTCTCTAGGCTTTTGGATGTACAGCCAGAAAATATAGATGACAAGCATATACAACACAAAGCTCAAAGATATATTAGTAATGGTTCTAGTACCTCTTACTAAGCATAATTCTTCATACCAATTAAGGATAAATTACCATGGGAATTTTCTATTACACTACAAAATAGACATACTGAAAAAATGCTCATGGTGCGTAACGAATGTAAGTATCTCCCAGGATTCTGGTTTTGCCAACCTAATTGGGCTCAACGCTTGTTTATAGAATATTATCTTAACTGCCATGCTTGACAGAGGAACAGGTACAAGAATGTTGTGCACCCTTAGAAAATACAGTTAATCCTTAACTTTTTCCAAGGTTAATCACAATGAGTTATTTGAATTTATGCAAATTAAAACATTGACGAAGTTGCCAGATCAGCTGTTCCAGAGATTAAAATCGTCTGCTGAAGCTAGTTGCACTTAAAAAATGAAATGGATACTTACTTGGAAATTAGAAATTAAATGTGGAATTCAGGTAACCCAATAAAATTCATATATTAACCTCATATATTTTGGGGGTTTGTGTTACCCTTGACAGCCTTGTACTATGACCTGGGAGCAAAGGATTCTCTCAGACACTTGATTTTCCCAACTCTCTTCCGCTCTGATTTCAAAGAAGTTCATGAAACATTAAACATAGATCTCTCTCTCTCTCTCTCTCTCGCTCTCTCGTTTTGCTATTTGTGCATTTGACCCCTATGCATGTTTACCCAAGAAATCCCACTGTGTCCAACAGTGCTTACTCTCTGTGTATTGGCATTTGGCATGCCACAAAAATATTGGTGGTCACAAATCCAGTCAAAATATGTTCATTGTACAGTTCACTCTACCCCAGGTTGAAACCAGATATGATTGGAGTAGTGTGGCTGCTACTTCTAACAACAGCTTCACATCTCTTTTTCTTCTCTTTTTCCAGTAAGATAAGTGTAGCAGACTGTAAATAATTATGGGATGAGATTCTCATCATTATTCTACTGCATTAGGTTCTGCTCATTGGGACAGGAACGATATCATATTATATGTTTTGTACTATTAGATCTTTTAGAAAGAAAGAGAGATCAAGATCAGGTATAGGGCAGCTATTCTCAGCTGCATCTACACATCATCTCACATAATTATCTTGTTCTTGCTGAATTTTAATTCTCATACCAGCTGGGGAAATAGAGGAATTAACAGATAAAGGTGAAAAGACTTGTCCAAAAAGTTAGCCATTGACTTGGTTCACACATTAGGACAAGCCATCATGGATGAATTTACCCATAGGGCTTGCTGTTATGTGCTGACTCATATTATTAAAATGAAGGTCACAGTGGGAGCTCACCACAGCTAGTCTTGCCCGCCCATGGGTTGTTTAGGGTTCTCAGTGATTTGTTAACCATGCCAATAACCTACTCTGACCAGGTTCTCACAGAAGGTCATCATGTTGTGTGGCTCCATGGTGATCTGCATTTTTTAAAAGCCAGTTGCTGCATGACAAGAAGCCCCACAGTTAAATTAATCCATAGGAATTTGCATGATGGGAGAACAGGCTCACTGAGTCTATGGCTAAGCCGCCCTTTGAAGTCAGGTTTCTCATGACCAACTCCAACTTTACCCACCGAGGCAATCTGGCTAATTTCATATTATGTAGTGGAGTTGGTGACTGCTAGTCTTTGAACTACTTGTTAGAAATTATATCCCATTTGACTCAGCAAGATTTATCTCTGACTAAGCATGTTTGAATTGGATAGTCAGCTCTTTTCCTTTCTTTTAAAGTGCGTATATACATGCCAGAAAACAGCAATAAACCTTGATTCCATTAGAAAACATAAAAGTATATTTATCATCTACATATTTTTATTATTTATTATTATACAAATTCATTTATGTATAAATAAATTTATCATTACAATAAACAATTTATTACTCATTACAATTAATCAATTATAATTTATTTATAAATTATTTATTATGATCTACTATATTTAGTCTGAAACTATATGTGGCATGATTTGTTAATGAATGTAGTGTAATTCAGATGTCACAGAACGGATGTATCACATGATTGCTAGGAACCTAAATAAGAAAACTGAGATTTGTCTTTTCAAGCATGCCACAATCACATGATGATCTTCAAGTCTGCCCTTTCAAAAGGTAATATACTTTTAAAACATATTCCCAAAG